TGTGATGAATTGACACTGACTGCAGCCATGGCTCAAGTATAGCAAGGATTGTGAGGATGGCTTTCGACCAGGTAGTGTTTGGCTCTGTTGTATATCGGGTCACTATGAGTGGGTGCCGGCTCGATGGCACTTAACAACAAATATCCTTGTTAGTTAATATCTACAGTCAATAAAGTGTTGTTGATTTTACTTGATTGATTTCGCATGAGAGAATTAGAATGATTTGGTTGTGTGCATACTTTGATGAATACATTTTTCAGTGTAACTAGCCATTATTGAAACAGGAGCAGCATATCCCACCAACCTCTTAAGGAATCTCTCTCTTCAGTCATGGGTCTAACATTTCATCAAATGGCCAAAGTGAACTTTATAAAACAAAAATCTTCTTACTTATCTTCCATACTTACAATACTGTTTTATTTTCCCTTATCTATTGAATAAAATTTAAAAATCTTATCTTGGCTGACTCTCTCACTCCAATTTCAGCTCAAACCAATTGATGCCATACAATCCACTTCTCCATCACATCAAATAACATGTGTTTCCTTGTCTACCTTGTGCTTTTTATCATCTTCATACTAAAAATATTCTGAGCCCTTGGTTTAGAAGAGTAGTTCTCAAATATTTTGATCACCGTAATGTTACAATCTTAAAAATTATTGAAGACTCCAAAGATATTTCATTTATGAGGGTAATGCCTGTAATTATTTACTATGTTAGACTTTTAAACTAAATAATTTAAAAATATTTATTAATTTATTTGAAAAAAACAATTTTGAATCTACTACATCTTTTATGAAAAGTAACTCTATTTTCAAAAAATAATGAGTAGATAGCCACTGTTGTTGATAGCTGCCTTTGAGGTGGTCTAACTCATGGTAACCCCATGCACAATGAAATACTGCTCTATCATTCACCATTCCCATGATCCATTGGGGACAGGATCATTGTGATCCATTGGGTTACCAATGGCTGATTTTCAGAAGTAGATCTTGTGCTAGTTAAGGTTATGTGTCAACTTGGTTGGGTCTTGTTTTGAGTGGATGGGCAGCTGGATGTAGTTATTCCCCTCAAAGAGACTGGTAATGAATTCCATGGCAGAATCTACTGTGAGCAGCTAAATAGCTGCCTCAGGGTTGTGTTCTGCTCCCAATATATAAGAAGATGCTTTGAGAAAGGTCTTGAGCTTTTTTGTAGGCTTGAACTCTGCATGTAGCCAAGTCTTTATTCAGCAGAGTGCCATGTTGCCTGCCAATCTTGGGACTGTTTCTGGACTTGCACTAGTGGTCTGCTGTGTTGCTTAATAATCTTGGGACTGTGCCATTTTACTTGTCAACCTTGGGTTTGTCAGCCTCAGTGGCTAGCAGCTGCCTGAGTTAAGAGAAACCTCCAGATTCAGTGGGCCAGGAGCAAGAGGCAGAACTGAATCCCAAAGTCGAGGGGCCCTCATCCAGCTCCTAGAGCTGTCACTTTGAACTTGGACTTTTAGACTCCTAAGTTTTAAGAGAATAAATTCCTGTTTGTTAAAGCTACCCAATTGTGGTATTTCTGTTATAGCAGCAGTAGAGAAGCAAAATTGACCTCTATCCCTCTCTTCCTAGTCCTTTTTAGCCTGGAAGCTCCACTGAAATCTGTTCAGCATCATAATAACATACAAGCTTCCACTGACAGACAGGCAGTGGTTGTGCATGTGAATCTTTGGTGATGAATTAAACCCAGTCTTCTGAACACTTCCAAATTACACTAACACATGACAAGTGAAGATAGTTAGAGATTAGTTGTAGTGTGGAATGAAAAACCATAGTGATGAACTTTCATACTCTATTAAATTGAAATTCATTGGTTTATCTTGCACATTGAATGCATCATTTACCCCTGCATAATTTTGTCAGGTCATTTGAAAAATCTTGATTCCCTGAACTACGTGCATCTTCCAAATGTTCCCATATTTTATTATACAATATCTAAAAATCATATTAAGTAATATTACTGCCCATGTCATAATAAAAGTCTCCAAATATTGAGAACCTGTCATGCTGACTGTGGGGGATACAAGTCCTCCAAAACTGTTCTTTTCTCAAAAGCTTGATCTTCATATTTCAACAAATAGTGTGGGTAATTTTCCTTGAAGTGTTAGGCTCATTTTACTCATGTTTTAGAAAATGTCTGCTAAATACTCAGATTTGAATAACGATCATTTGTCTCTTCCTTATTCTTGCATTTGAAAAATAAAAATGTTTCTTGAGAAAAAGCCTACTTCAACTTGCAGCTAAACAATCACTCAAATGCATGGCTTCCTTCAGGCAACCGTTACACTTCAGAATTCAACAGAAGTACTCATGAGCATCTTTCATTCCAACACAAAAAAATATTAAACAGCTATGCACTGAATCGTCAATGTTTAATAAAATTAATCATTTTTACTCTTTCCTCAAGGGCATTCTTAAGTGAAATAGGCTCTTCTTCTTCTTCTTCTTTTTTTTTTTTTCCTGCTATTATGTAGCAGTGAAAATACAATTCCTAGTAGCACAGTTTGGTGCCACTGCCTTGGTTAGTAACAACTGGCAGAATCTTAGTCACCCTTTAAATTTCTTCAATCCATCTCTGTGGAGCTCCCTCCACTAACACTTTTATGAGATTCATCCCCTTCTCCCTGGTGCAAATTTTCATCCCCTAAGCCTCCAGTAGATTCTGTTATATTTAAATGTTGGTTTATTTGTAGTATCCTCCTTTAAACTGCAGCTTCTAAAGGAGTATGTACTCTTATTCTTCTTTATATGCAAAATGCCTAAAAAAAAATCTGTGGTTGTTGTTTTGTGTCATGGAGTCGGACCCGACTCACAGCGACCTCTCCTTGGGTTTCTGAGGAGGTATCACTGCGGAAGTAGATTGACCATCTTCCTTCTGAGGGGTGGCTGGTGGGTTTGAACCACCAGCCTTCTGGTTAGCAATCAAGAACCTTAGGCACTATGCTACCAGAGCTGGAATACAGAAAATTAATGCATAGATTAGTTGATATATTGTATATACCGCTCTCTTTAGATTCAGTTGCTTGTGATTCTTTAATTAAACATAAAAAAGGAGTATAAAAAGTTAATTTGCCTTCTGATCCCAACGTGAACACTTGCATCTCTGAATTCCATTAGTCTGGGATAATCGGATTGAGCAAGCTGTATAGGGTCAGAGAGTCAGACTCAAATGCATACCACCACCACCACAACTTGGAGCATTAAAATGGATACTTCATAGAGATATGCCAGAAAACCAATAAATCACAAATATGTATGAACTCTTATCACAACTGTAATTATTCATTTTACACACACATACACAGACACACACACACATATTTTAAAGCCAAAATATATTGGGTAGAATATAAAAATTTGCATAAATTATCGATAAGTATGGTAACCTAAAGGAAAAAAAAATAAATAAAAAGTGTATTTGTAAAGTCTAAGTTGGAGCTAATTTAGAATGACTGGGTTTTTTTTTAATATGCAAAGAGAGGGATAAAAAAGTGAAGGATATTAAATGTAGAAAGAACAATATGAAAGTGGGCAGAATAAACATGGGATAGCAATGTGTAATATGAAGTTTGACTTAGCATACATATTTTTATATGAGTAAACATAGGAGTTGATGTTATGTCTCACTATTTATCATGGAAATGTATATTAATATGTCATTTTTGCAAATTAGTCATAAGCTAACAAGAATACAAAATCATTGTTGGCAAAAGTATGGAAAAATTATTTTCATAGACAGTAGTGAAAATGTAATTTGAGATTACCTTTTTGGAGGGAAAATTTTTGTGCTATAAAAAGTAAATATGCACACTACCTTTGCAATTCTACTTCTAGGATTCTATCCTATAGAAGCACTCACATGTATAAATATGCATATGTATATACACAAATATTCTTTGCAGGATTATGTATAATGAAGACACCAGAAACAAACTAAATGCTCCTCTATAAGGAAATGTTTAAACAAATTAGTTTATCCTTAGTATAGAATTCTACACAAGCTTTAAAATAAATAAATGAAATGGAGGCTTATGTGTTTGATTTAAGCATCTCAAGGTATATCACTAATGAAAAAATTAAGTTAGCTTAATAATACATATATAGTATAATTTCATTTTTTAATTAAAATCTATACACATATATAAAGAAAATTCTAGAGGTAAAATAGATGTCATCTATGAGTAAGTAAATGGGATTGATGACTGGTGATGAAACAGGAATTTCATTTTAAATCTATATTAAGTGAACACATTAAAAAAAGTGTAAATTTACACAATGTTTTGCAATTCAAAAAGTAAAGAAAAAAAAAAGATTGACCTCAGTACAGTGAATGGAAATATGGAGATTCATGGAAATCACAAAGGCAGAGAAAAGAGAGAAGTTGTATAAGAACTAAAGAGATGGTCTTTTTAAGAGCTGGATGCTAGAAGAAAGATTTTTCTGAATTATGCAGTTAATTCATACTGAATATTATGCTTGAGTTATTACCTCCCAGTAAACATTAGACTATGTCTATAATAGCATTTTCTGATAAAGACTATTATATTTCAACACAGAATGTTTTAAAAATAATTTCTGGTATGTGAGAAAATATAATTAACTGAATATTCTTACACAGATATTCTTAAAGGTATAGTTTTACCCACAGAAAGAAAATTAATTAGTATAAGTATAATTTTGTACTTAAAAATAGTTTCCCATGAATTTTAATACAGTTATTTGTAAGAAATATTATGATCAAACCTATTGAAAGTCTGTGCATGGAGCTAATAATCCTAATATTATATGCTATACATGCCAGCAGTTAATTGCTTCTTTGACTCTGAGGGTACAGACGACATAGTTGCATTCATTCTTGAGTATAAATTCAAGGAAAATATAATAGCTACATGAAATTACTACTATAATTTCTTCAATAACCTTAATGGTATTTGTTGCCACCAACCTAAGTAAAAAGAAATTGCTACTTACTTTCAACAATCACTTGTCTGTCTTCCCAGTTGTCATTAATAAGCTGTATATTTCCAAAGTGTGCATCACTGTAAAAGATTCGGTTGGTACCTTTTCTTCTTTGATTATAGTCAAAAGCCAAGGCTATCACATTCTTGAAATAATGTGGATTCTCATATGGCCTTATTGGTGAATTTAAATTGGTTTCATCAGAAAGATGTATACTTTTTAATATTGTTCTTCCTGAATACAGCAAATAGCCTTCATGCCTTAGGCAAGTAACTCCATCCTCTGCCAAATATCCATGGGCACAAGCACAAGTTCTTTGGAAATTTCCTCTATAAAGACAGAGTTGCTGACAGCCACCATTGTCCTTGGCACAAACATTTGTCCCTAAGGAAGACAAATAAACACATACACACATATATACATGTATGTATATATATCCATATGAATATATATACACATAAATACACATATATATGATTATATATTTCTTTCATTTTTCAAATATTAGTTTCTGATATATATGTTAGAAAATGAATGTTGAATATTCTCTTTTTATTCTTATTTTAAGGCTGATTAAAAAAAAATACTATAAAGTACCTATTTTTTTTCATTGTTCCAGATTAAAATCGTAGATTTCTTATTTCAAAAAATATATTCTTTCCTCATTATTCAAATAAAAACTTAACATTTTCTTGTAAACAATCAGCTAAGTGTATAGCTCTCTTTTGAAACTTGATATTGAGATTACATAGGTTTTATATATTGTAATCCTTAGCAAGTGTAACTGATACGCTCAAAACATGAACTAAATTCACTGAGAAAGAAGCTTTACTTTAAATGATGTGTCAAAGAGATATCTAAGATATGAAAAAAAAAAAATGTTGCTTCAGCATGTCTATTTAGGGCATAATTTTTCACTCCAGTTTTAGTGAAGATATTATATTCCCTAAAGATTTATCTGGTGGCTCAGTGATTAAAACATTCGATTGCCAACTAAAAGGTCAGGGGAACCCACAGACTGCTCTGTGGGAGGATAAGGGAGTCTGATTTCCTAAAAACTTTCATCCTTGGAAATCATAAGGGGCACTGCTACTCTGTCCTGTAGGTTCACTATGAGTTGGAACAGCATTGGCAGTAGGCTTGCTTTTTTGGTTTATGATTTATTTGATAACTGTCATCTCCAAAATCATTATACCTTCTTCTGATGTCTTGAAAATTAATTGCAATTTATTTTAATGTAGGTAAAATAAAATAGCCAAATCACTGTCATGTCATTAAAAAAAAAGTGATAATTTTGAACATATTTCATTTTAAAAGCAGCACTTTCTAGAGCTATAATCACTTCATATATTAAAATATAATCCAAAACAAAAATCTGCTACTTTTTACTCTGTAATATCCTAAGTGCACTTTGAAATTAAAAAAAAAAAAATATTTTTAACCTCTGCATGTTTATCAGGAGCTCTGGTGGCACCATGGCTAAAGCACTGGGCTGCTAACCAAAAGGTCAGCAGCTTGAACCCACCAGTTACTATGCAGGAGAAAGAAGAGGCAGTCTGCTCTCATAAAGATTTATAGCCTTGGAAATCCTGTGGGATAGTTCTACTCTGTCCTATCGTGTTATTATTAGTTGGAACCAACTCAATGTCAGGTTTCTTTTTTTTTTTTTTTCCCATATTTATCAAATTTCCTATATTATTAACCCCAATCATATACTCAAGACATGACATGTATGCAACATATCCATGCATTTGTGTCATATTAGGCAACTATACATATCTATAAACCATCATACATTCCTTTTACTTGGCTACTATATGCTTTTTGTGGGAAAAGAAATATAAAAATAATAGGTTTTGGAATCATATAAGATTGCATTCCTAGCAAAGTTGATAAATTAAAAAAAAAATGAGAGGGGTGAGACAAAGAACATAAAATCCATTATGAAGTCCTATACGAATGCTGACCTTTCTCTCTTACTCGGTTAAAGATTTTAACTTCTTTGAGGTTGATTCCAAGGCCAGTTCTCATTGTCACTGTTTCTGTGGCATCATTCTTGTGGCCCCTTCTGATGGACCCATTGGCATGAGCTCTGTCAAAAAAAGTTGAACATGATCAATAATCTCCCACTAATTAAAACCATGTTTGTTATTTAAACTCATGATAAAAGAAGCCCCACAATAACAACAAAAAGAGAAGGCCCAGCAGAAAAGAAAGAAACCAACTTCAGTCAGTGACATTGAAATACTTGAACCTGGAACAGCAAGAGTGCCTGCTTTTCCTGTGGAAATTATTTGGCTTTGTGAGATCCTTTTTGTGACCTTGCTAAGGAATGGCTAATCCTACAAGGGTAAAGCAGCTAGCACTGAAATAACATTCTGAGACTCAAATATTTATGAAAAAATAAATTACCTGTCAGACCAGTAAATGTAAGCCCCAAAGACTGCAACTGAAAACATATCCACATTGCTCCCTGACAGCACCATCTCACGACTCCCTCCAGTCTCAAGGTCAATTCTTTCTATCTTGTCTGTGCGAGCATCACACCAGTATAGTTTATTTTCCTAAATATCAATTGAAAAAAATAGTATTACAAGCTTATTTCGATCAACTTTTTTTGTTAAGAATATGAGGGACACTGAAAGTGAAATAATGCAAGTTGGCAGTTAATGGACTTTAAATACAAAGAAAAGCCATTTAACAGACCTCATAGTCAATGGAGATGCCATTCGGCCATGCTATTCCAATGCTCACAAGGACAACTTTCTCTGAGCCATCTAGGCGAGCCTTTCCAATGCAGGGCATCTGTCCCCATTCAGTCCAGAACAAGTAGCTGAAATTAAAGTGTTGATGTATAGTGATACATAGATAGATAAACAAAAACTTAACATTATTAATGATAACAATAGCAATACCATCCATAACAAAAATAAGACATTTAAAATCTCTTTATCTGCATGTGCTTATGTTGTAATAGAAATTTTTATTGTAAAAGATATTTAGCCAACCATAGAAATCATGAGGAGGAATTCAAAATTCTACCAGAACAGCACTTGTGCCTGCTGTTTTTTATTTGAAATTAAGCCACCTGTTTGCCAAATTTTTCATAACCATTTTTCATGTCTTAATTCAAACATTATTTTCTTCAAAAGTCTTCTGTGTCCCACCTGATTACTGTGCCATGCCATCTGTTCAGAGCATGGATTAGAGTGGCCAATTTACACTTAAATTTATTTATATTGTTATTTATAATTAATACTTTTTGCCTCTGTCAGACTGTAAGCTCAATGTGAATAGTGATTTTTTTCTCCTATATAATCTGGTAGCATAGTGCCTAAGGCACTTGACTGCTAACCAGAAGACTGGCGGTTCAAACCCACCAGCCACTCCTCAGAAGGAAGGTTGGGCATTCCTACTTCCGTAGTGATATTGCCTCAGAAACCCAAGGAGGGGTCGCTATGAGTCGGGGCCAACTTGATGGCAAATAACAACAACAACAACAACATATAATCTTTATACCTACAGCATCAGGTCAATAGACAGTTTAAAAATTAATAATTAATAGTAACTAAATGTTTAATTAATTAATGCATATGCAAATGAACCATATCTTTCAATTCTGTCAACTTAGACTGCTAAGCAAATCTATTCTAATTAGAATTTTATCAATCATATTTGATAAACACGTTATCACAAAAACCAAAAAAACAAACTCACTGCTGTTGAGTCAGATCCAACTCATAGAGACCTCTCCTTGGGTTTCCAAGGTAGTATCACTACAGAAGTAGATTGCCTAACCTTCCTTCTGAGGAGTGGCTGGAGGGTTTGAACTGCCAGCCATCTGATTAGCAGTCAAAAGCCTTAGGCACTACACTACCAGGACTTTTCACACAAAATCATTCTTATTTTAGTAATCTTGTTATATAAAATACAATGTAGAAGGAAATATAATGAGAAAAAATCTAGAGATTTATGAAATAAAAAAAGTCAAAAAATGAAATGTAGAAACATGGAAGGTATATTATTCATTATTTCAGTTTTCCATTAAACAAATACAGTATTTATATTACAATAAAGAAACCCATGCTTTCAGATAAATAGTAACCATAATATTCATTCTTCATTTGAAAGTATAACCAGGAAAATCTTTATTCATCTATCAGATAACAACAAAAATTGAAGTTTGAAAAAATAAAGTAATCATAATTCAGGCAAAAATGTGTGTGTTTTTCTGAACATATTTGAATACATATATTTGTATATGTACTGAAAAATCTAAGATCTATAGTCTTATTTGGAATTTGCTTAATGGAATTATTGTTTAACTATGGAAAAAACATACTTAGGAAGGTAACATAAGTTATATAAAATATGTATAATCCCTTTATGTATATTACTTTGATTTGTTTCTACATTTGATTTTATTTTCATGACAAGCCTGTACAAAACAAATGTGTTGGAGTTTTGCACTCAGTCAAAAAAGAGGTGTGGCTATATTCTCAATTAATCCTGAAGATACTTTCATTCATAATTACAAATTCTTCAAATCAGAAAGAGAAAACTTTGTAACAGGAAATTCACATAGTATTTTATTGGTATGATATAGATGAAACCTAAAATCATATCCATTGCCATGGGTGATTCTGACTAATGGTGGTGACCCTATGTGTTTCAGAAGAGAACTGTATTCCACAGGGATTTCAATAGCTGTAACCTCATGGAAGGAGATCACCAGGCCTTTCTTCCATGGTGCCCACTAAATAGATTTGAACTGCCAAACTATTTTTGATAGCAGTTGAGTTCATTGTGATTTCTAAGTAAGGCAGGCATTTTTGGTCTCATACAAAAAAGCCAAACTCACTGCCATCGAGTCGGATCCAACATATAGCGACCCCTCCTTGGGTTTCTGACGTGATATCATTATGGAAGTAGATTGCCCAATCTTCCCTCCAAGGAGTGGTTAGTGGGTTTGAATCACCAGCCTTCTGATTAGCAGTCAAATGCCTTAGGCACTACACCACCAGAGAGATTATTCTGAGAAGTACTTTCCTCATGAGTGTTATTGTTCATTTTATAGCTCCATCTGTTTGGTGGCAAAATGATCTCAGGAGTAGTTTCAGTTCCAGGTTTGAAGGGAGTCTAAGGGCCACAGTCTCAGAGGTTCATTAGTCTCCATCAGACCCAGACCTCACACCATACACAAAAGACAACTCAAGATGGGTAAAGACATAAAAGGAAAACCTAAAACTATGAAGATCTTCAAAGAAAAAAAAAATAGGGCAAACTTAAGGGCTCTAACATATGGCATGAATAGTCTATCAAACATAAGCATAAATGTACAAACAGCAGAAGATAAACTAGATGACTAGGACCTCCTAAAAATTATCCACATATGAGCATCAAAAGGCTTCACTAAAAGGGTAAAAAATGAATCTATAGACTTGGGAAATTTTTTGGCAATGATCTCTCTGTTAAGGCACTAATCTCTAAATGTATAGAAAATGTCAATGCTCCCACAACAAAAAGACAACAATCCAATTAAAATATGAGCAGAGGACATGAGCAGATTACTTCACCAAAGAAAACATTCAGAAGGCCAACAATCACGTAAAGAAATGCTCATGATCATTAGCTATTATATAGATGCAAATCAAAACAATAAGATATCACTTCACCCTAGCAATAATAGTAAAGTAAAATAAGACATAAAACAACAAATGATGGTAAAGGTGTAGTGAAATTTTAACTTTCATACACTGCTGGAAGGAATGTAAAATGGTACGACCACTGTAGAAAACAGTACGGTGCTTCCTTACAAATTTGGAAGAAGAAATATCATTTCATCCAGCAATTCCACTACTAGAAATAAGAACTGAAACATGAATAGACATACACACACCTATGTTTATCAAAGCATTATTCACAATAGCAAAGAGATGGAAACAATCTAAGTGTCAATAGAAGAATGGGTCAATAAACTATAGTACATACATATAATGGAATACTACACAACTTTAAAGAATAATGAGAATCTCTGTAACATTTCATAACATGGACTAACTTGATGGAAGTTAGCTGAGTGAAATAAATAAATCACAAAAGGACAAATACTGGATGAGACCACTATTATAAAAAGTCAATGGAAGCTTTACACACAGAAAGAAACAATCTTGATGGTTACCAGATATGGGAGAGAAAGGGAGGGAAAATTACAAACTAGATAATAGACACATACTAATTTCAGTGAGGGAGCTCTGGTAGCATAGTGCCTAAGGCACTTGACTGCTCACCAGAAGCCTGGCAGTTCAAACCCACCAGCCACTCCTTGGAAGAAAGGTTGGGCAATCTACTTCTGTAGTGATACTGCCTCTCGGAAACCCAAGGAGAGGTCGCTATGAGTCAGGTCAGACTCAACAGCACATAACAACAACAACAACAACAAATTTCAGTGAAGGGAAAGGCAATATACAATAAGGGGGATATCAGCAAAATATTACTAAGGCAAAGCAAGACACTGAGAGATGCAGAAAAGTTACAGACAACAAAGGTAAATAGTGTTACATTATACAATCCTGCAAAATCAGTAATCACAAATGATAATCTATGAATGGATACATAGGTAGATATGCAAGCTAACCAGGAATGGGTAGGCCAACAGGATTATACCCATGACCTATATATAGCATATTTTACATATATAATGTATGTGCTACAAATATATTCATGTATATAGTGGCATAAGCAGGGGCAATGTTATGAAAACTTAGCCATAAGGAAACACCTTTTGGGAATGAGTCACTGGACTTGGAGTTAGGGCCCTAGTCTCAGAAGAAAGCTAAATGAATTGGCATAACAAGTTCACAAAGATAGTGTTCTACAGCCTACTTTGGTGAGTATTGACTGGTGTCTGAAAAGCTAGTGAATGGCCATCTAAGATGCAACTACTGGTCTAGAGGAAAGAAGAGTGAAGACTCAAGGAAATAGTTCAGAGGACTCATGGATCATGCAAACCACATCTTCAACTATCCTAAAATCAGAAGAACTAGAGGTGTCCAGTTTCCACTGTCCACCATTCTGATCAGGACCACAGAACGTCCTGGAATGAATGGGAGAAAAATGTAAAATGTTACTTTTAAATGTTTTTAAGGTTCCCTCCTGTCCCCCCTTTTTTCCTGTGATCTATTCTTTCATTGCCTTCATACACTCAACAAATACTTAATCAGATGCCTGTTATGTGGAATGAGCTGATACTGGAAAAATGAATTGGACATAGTGACCTTCATGAAGCTTACCATTTAATGGCAGAGGCATGTGGGTAAATAATAAAGAATAAGTCTGAGAAAAATACAAACAAAAGTACATATACCGTGTAAGTCACTACAAATCATGAAATTAGGGGCTTGAAACACTGAAAATACTGAAGTGTTATAGTGAGTAAAGTTTTCATTCCCATAAACAACTACAGAAAAGACCTTTTCTTTTGAGCTAAAATAAATATATAGGCCATGCAGATTGTCCTTTCCTCTGTTTTACATACACACACACACACACATGCACACACACATATACATATAATTTGTTCTACAGGACTTTAATTGGTTTCTTTACTCTGATACTTTGTTTTAAATTACTTCTAGATTCACAACTTTGCACTCTTGAGTGATTACATAGAACAACTACTGCATATGTAGTTATGTTCATTAAAAGCCCACAATGGATACAACAAAAACAAATTGCAATGCACTGCCGTCGAGTCAGATCCGACTCATAGAGACCTCTCCTTGGGTTTCTGAGGCAATAACACTACGGAAGTAGATTGCCCAAACTTCCTTC